TACAAACCCAAACAGTTGCCATTAAAAGCTTGGCATTAGATGGTGCGAGTGTTCTTGCGCGTCGAGATGCTACTGGAGAAGTGAACTGGGCCCTAGTTGGTGTCAAACCTTCTGCGCAAGAAGAAAAAGTGATCACCAAGGCACAAGATCAGCACCAACCTTGGAAGGTGAGCATAGCGCAAATACAGTTGGGCAATGTTAAAGTAAACTATCAAGATGAATCTTTTAAAGAAACATTTCGAGTCAATGTCGATGAAGTCAATGCCCAAGGCTCATTTAAAGGGCAATTTGGCGATAAAACGCAAGTGATGGTTGATCTTCCTACGCTCGTTTTCAAACAAATCGCGACTTATTCGGGCGATACGCCAAGCGACTTAGAAAAACCTACGTCTTATTTCCAGCAGGCGATGCTCAGTGAGGGGGCATTTGATTTACAAAATCAAACTATTTTTGCCAAAAAAGTTGTTTTTTCAGAAGGTCATGCCAGTGCCAAACGAGATGCTCAGGGGGTGATTAATTGGCAGCGTTATTTTCTGCCTAAACCCACAACCCTCACTAAGGTTCAACCTGCTGATCAAAATACACAATCCCAAACGCCTCAAGTACCCAATACAGTCACTTTACCGTGGGAAATTGACGTGGCACAAATTTTGGTGCAAAAATTTGTTACGGATTATCAAGATGATAGTTTTGAAAAGCCTTTCGTGGCGACCATAGGTCAGCTCGATGCAGAAAGCGCTTTAAAAAGCAGTTTTGGCGATAAGGCTCAAATTCACATGCCACTTACTGTGAATATCAAGGCGATTGAAGCGCGCTCAGGCGATAAAGTTGTTTCGCAACTGGCGAGTGGTCAATTGGTGGGCGGTCAATTTGATTTAGAAGGACAAAAAATTTCTGCAGATAAGCTCGTGTTGAGCCATGGTTGGGCCAATACGAGCCGCGATCAAAACGGTAAACTCAATTGGCAGCAAATTTTTACCCCGCGCCACACCACCCGTCCTGTGACCACACCTGTTCGACCGCCAGCGACCAAAGAGGTCGATCAACCTTGGTTAATTGATATCGCGCATATTGGATTGTCACAATTTAAGAGCCAATATCAAGATGATAGCTTTGTTAAGCCTTTTTTAGCCGACATCAAACAGATCGATGTCACGGGCAAATTGACCAGTCGTTTTGGGGCTAAGATGCAGATGACCGTGCCCATTGCCGTTCAAGTAAAGGGCGTATCCGCATTGTCCAATCATCAAACGATTGCGACTTTAGGGCAAGCTACGCTCCAAGGTGGTGAATACAATTTAGAAAAAAATCAGTTTGTTGCACATCAGGTTGCACTGAGCAAAATTCGCGCTGATGTGACACTCGGCAAAAACTATGTTGTGAATTGGGCGCAGTATTTTGAGCCGCGTAAAATGGCATCATCTTCAAAAATACCGAAAAAATCAAAAGCTAAAAAATCTAGTCGCGCGCAAGATTTTACTTTAAACCTACAAAACATTACGATCAATGGAATCGATAGCAAAATTCTTGATGGATCGCAAGCCAAACCGACCCTCATTGAAGTGACCAACAGTCAAGCAGGCCTAAAAAACTTCTCTTTAGATTTTCGAAAGCCACAGATAGCTTCCTTGCTGGTCAATTTAAAATCAGGTGGACAAATTCAAGCCACAGGCCCTATCTATTTGGATTATCCACGTGGAAAGCTTGCCTTAAATATCAACAAATTATCAGTGATTCCAGCGGCAAACTATTTAAATCAATATGTTAAGTTAACGCTTCATCAAGGTAAATTCGATGCCAAGGGAAATCTACAATTTGCGACGGCTTCGCCTCAGCAAAAAGATTTTTTGATCAATTACCAAGGGTTGGCTAATCTTGAAGATTTGCTCATTAAAGAAGAAGAAACAGGGTTGGAGTTTTTGGGATGGCAACAACTTTTTTCTCCTAAGCTCAATTTCTCCCTTACCAACCAAACCTTAATCGCCAATGAGGTGGTGGCTCGTAAGTTTTTCGGCAAACTCATTATTTATCCCGATCGCAGCATTAATTTGAGCAAAATGATGCGTGACGACAAAACCTCACAGGCGCAAGCCCCGACCCCAGCCAATGGTGCTTTAACAAAAGATAAACCAGGGTTTAAAGTAGCTGTTAATCGTTTGCGTGTGCAAAAAGGACGTTTTGATTTTGCCGATTTTTCTTTACCGCTCAAATTTAATACCAAAATGCATAGCTTAACGGGGGTGGTGGCAGGTTTTGCACTAGACCCCAAGTCAAAAATAAAAATTGAGCTGGATGGAAAAGTTGATCAATACGGTATGGCGCGGATTCATGGCGCATTAGAACCGATGAATGTCAAAGATTTTACCGATGTAAACATGAATTTTCGTAACTTAAGTATGCCAAACTTCACACCTTATTCAGGTAAGTTTGCAGGTCGCAAAATCGAAGATGGGCGCTTAACCGCTGACTTAGAGTACAAAATAGAAAAAGGGCAGTTGCTTGGTAATAATAAGTTTATTCTCAATGAGTTAAAACTTGGCGATCGTATTGATAGCCCAGGTGCTGTTGATTTACCTTTGGATTTAGCCATTGCCATTTTAGAAGACAGTGATGGGGTGATTGATATTGATCTGCCAGTAGCTGGCAATTTGAATGATCCAGACATCAAGTATGGTGGTATTGTCTGGAAAGCGATTATCAATTTACTGACAAAAATTGTCACATCGCCTTTTCGAGCTTTAGGTAAACTGCTGGGAGATGATGCAGAGAAGTTTGCTACGATTGATTTTGACCCTGGAAAAAGTCGTTTATTGCCTCCTGAAAAAGAAAAACTCGTTAAATTATCACAAGCCCTTACCAAGCGACCCAATCTGGCCATCACGATTGTACCTGGTGTGAGTGATGTTCTTGATAAAGAGGGTTTGCAAGAAGGTAAGATTAGGTCATTGATTAATAAGGCATTAAAGCTACCAGAAGAACAGTTGCGCGAACCCATCGATACCCAAAATGAAGCCACTCAAGAGGTTATCGCCAAGTTATACCGTCAGTTACCTGACGATAAACGACAAGAAAAACCCGAAGATGCTCATTTGTCAACTGATGAGAAACGTTTAGCCATTTTAACGCGTGCTCAAACTGTCGAGGCTCAAGACATCGATGCACTGGCGAAAAAACGTGCTGAAAGCATTAAAAGTGAGCTGGGTAAAGATGTCGCATCTCGCGTGAAAATAAAAGACACGGTGCAGATGAAGGATAAGGGGCAGTTTGTGGTGACTAAGCTTGAGTTAGGGGTGAAGTGATGTGTTGTTCTCATGTTGGATCAAACAGATAATGGGGCACTCCTCTTCGTTGTTGCTCATTTACAATGGATGTCGAAAAGTAATAATTCAATTCCACATCCATCGTGAATGCGAAATGACAACAAAAGCATTGCTCATGCAAGACAAGGAGGAATGACAAAATTCACGGTTGCTGTGGAATTGGAATAGGGAAAATATCTTTTGTAATCAATAGAATAAAACATGACGCATCAAGGTGTCGTAAACTCAAAGATAAACCTGCTTTAGGGCGTCGTGCGCTGCCAGTAAAGTTGTGTCGATAATTTTGTCATCATGACAACTGGAAACAAAACCTGCTTCAAAAGCCGAAGGCGCCAAATAAACGCCACGGTCTAACATAGCATGGAAAAAGGCTTTGAAGCGTTCAATGTCCGATTGCACCACTGCCTCGTAGCGGGTGGGTACGGTCGGAGAAAAATAAATACCGAACATCGTGCCAATGTGATCGGCACAAACGGGTAAATTTAAGGTTTTGGTCAGTTGATTGATGCCATCACTTAATTGTGAGGTTCTTTGACCGACTTGCTGATAGAAACCTTCTTGTGAAATGATGTCTAACGTCGCTAATCCACAAGTGACCGCCACAGGATTGCCTGATAAGGTTCCTGCTTGATAAACATTTCCTGTGGGAGCCATATGCGCCATGATGTCTTTTCGACCACCAAAAGCACCAATGGGCATACCGCCACCAATCACCTTGCCAAGGCAGGTTAAATCAGGTTTGATACCATAATAACCTTGTGCTCCAGTAAGTCCCACCCTAAACCCTGTCATGACCTCATCAAAGATTAAGATAGTCCCATCATCACTACACAATTTTCTTAATAAATCATGATATTGCTGGCTAGGTCGAATTAAATTCATATTGCCAGCGATAGGCTCAATAATCACGGCAGCAATTTGACCACGATATTTTTCAAAGGCTTCTTGCAACTGATCTGCATCATGATAGGTTAAGACTAAAGTGTCTTGAGTAAACTCAGGAGGGATGCCAGCAGAGTTCGGTGTGCCAAGGGTTAATAACCCAGAGCCTGCTTTGACAAGTAAACTATCAACATGACCATGGTAACAGCCTTCGAACTTGATGATGATCTTGCGTCCCGTGAAACCCCGTGCGAGACGTAGGGCACTCATGGTCGCTTCTGTGCCACTAGAGACTAATCGTACCATCTCGATTGAAGGCATAATAGATTGAATTTTTTCAGCTAAATCAATTTCAAGTGCGGTAGGCGCACCGTAAGAAAAACCATTTTGGAGGCTAAGGGCAACTTGGTTGACGATGGTAGGGTGGGCGTGACCGAGTATCATGGGTCCCCAAGAGCCGATATAGTCTATGTATTGTTTGCCATTAGCGTCCCACATATAGGCGCCTTGCGCACGTTCGATAAATTTGGGCGTACCACCGACCTGCTTAAAAGCTCGCACGGGCGAATTGACACCACCTGGAATGAGTGTTTGCGCTTTTTGAAAAAGTACCTGATTTTGATCAACATCTTGAATCAATGACATAAAAACAATTCCTTAATTATCCCTTAAATGGGTCAAGTGAAAAAAACAATTTTGCGGTAAAATCGCACTCGCATAATAATTGATAGGATTATTATGCTCAAATAAGCTTTGCTGATGAGGTAGGGTACGCAATTTTTACTATTTTAAACCAAGGGACTGTTCAATGGACTTTAAAACTTATATTTGTTTGGTATGCGGCTGGATATATGACGAAGCTGCTGGTGTTCCTGATGATGGCATTGCGCCAGGCACGAAGTGGGAAAACGTTCCAGTTAGCTGGGTTTGCCCTGAATGTGGCGCAACAAAAGCTGATTTTGAAATGGCCGCATTCTAATTTAATGATTTTATTGGTTTGATTTTTGTTGGGGGCTGCTGAATACACCAGCCCCCATTTTTATGCTTTTTTGATGTGAGCTACTTCATGACAGCCGTGCGCGACAAAACGTTATACGAAAATAACAAATTGGAAAAACGCTTATGCCGCCAAGTGGGGCAAGCCATTGGCGATTATAACATGATTGAAAATGGTGACAAAGTCATGGTTTGTTTGTCAGGTGGTAAAGACAGCTTTGCAATGCTTGATATTTTGCTCAAACTCAAAACTCGTGCCCCGATCGATTTTAGTATCGTGGCCGTTAACCTCGATCAAAAACAACCTGGCTTCCCAGAACATGTCTTGCCGAACTATTTGCAAAAGCTCGGTATTGATTTTCATATTGAAAATCAAGATACTTATAGCATCGTCAAAAAAATTATTCCAGAAAATAAAACTACGTGTTCTTTGTGTTCAAGACTGAGGCGTGGGATTTTGTATCGGGTCGCTAGTGAGTTAGGCGCTCATAAAATTGCCCTTGGACATCATCGAGATGATATTTTAGAAACATTTTTGCTCAATTTTTTTTACGGTGGCACGCTCAAAGCGATGCCACCTAAATTGCGCTCTGATGATGGTCGTCATGTTGTGATTAGACCTTTGGCCTATGTTGATGAAAATGATCTTATTCGATATGCTAAGGTGCAAGATTTCCCCATTATTCCTTGTAATTTGTGCGGTAGTCAGGAGAATCTGAAAAGAGTCGAAATGAAGCAACTTCTCCATGAGTGGCGCAAAAAATACCCAGGGCGCGTTGAAACCATGTTTAATGCCTTATCAAAGGTAACCCCATCACACCTGCTTGACACCAAACAGTATGATTTTGTTGGGCTTCCCAATAGTCGCGTCGACCAAGAAGAACAAGTGATGACGTTTGCCAATAAAAACTTGGGTTTGGAGGACGCTTTCCCCTTATTTGAGGATGCTTAATGGATCAACAGCTTAACCCCCAAAATGAGCCAAGGCAAGCACTGATTCGTCCGCTTAACGGTCACACACCTACTTTTGGTAAGAACTGTTTTTTAGCCGAAACAGCTGTTCTGATTGGTCAGGTGTCGATGGGCGATGATTGTTCCATTTGGTATAACGCTGTTTTGCGGGGCGATGTTAATCGCATTGTGCTGGGTAACTGCGTGAATGTACAGGACAATGCAACTTTGCATGGCACTTACGAGCGGTTTTCCACCCAAATTGGCAACCATGTTTCTATTGGTCATAATGCGGTTGTGCATGGTTGTACCATTCATGACTATGTTCTTATTGGTATGGGCGCGTTGATTTTGGATAATGTCACCATCCATTCTCACGCATTGATTGCTGCAGGTGCTGTGGTAACGCCCAATACACAAGTTGGTGAAGGCGAACTTTGGGCTGGTAATCCTGCCAAAAAAATTAAAATGGTCCCTGAACATTTACGAACAGGCGAAATCGAACGTATCGCCAAAAACTATTTAAAATACAGTAGTTGGTATCAAGGTTCGGAATAATTTCAATTTGACATCAACCGTGCATTTTGTTGCGTCTCCATATCTTGCAATAGCAAGGCCTTATACCAATTCTCCATCAAAGCGCTACTTTGTCATGGCTCCTAGCCTTACGATAGTCATGTCTTCGTCGTCATTTCGCGTAGCACTTTGATGGAGAATTGGTATTAGCCGTCGTTTTGCATTCATGATGGAGGCTAAATTGGAATAACTTGTTGATTAAATATTATAAGCCGTTTTAGTCATGACTTTTGCAGCTAATGTCATCACTTGTGCGATCGGGCTTGGCAAGTCTATACCTCCTAAGGCTTTTGCTTTTTGACCGTGTGCAATTTCGTCGTCACGCATTTGCGTAACGATGGCGCGACTTTTAAGGTCGTTGACAGGAAGCTCACTTAAATGACTATTCAAATGGGCTTCAACTTGTTTTTCGGTTTCGGCAACAAATCCTAAGCTAATTTTATCACCCAAAATCCCAGCCATTAAACCAATACCAAATGCGCCTGCATACCAAACAGGGTTTAAATAGCTTAAATGACTGTCTAACTCATGCAAACGTTCCTCACACCAAGCTAAATGATCCATTTCTTCTTCGGCACTTTTTGTAAGCTCATGTTTGATTTCATGATTTCTTGCAACTAAGCTCTGTGCGGAATACAAAGCCTGCGCGCAGACTTCCCCGACATGATTAACGCGCATTAAACCAGCCGCATGAGCTTTTTCTGCAGGAGATAGCGCTATGGGCTCGGTGGCAGGCAATTGAACAAAAGGTCTTTTGGCATGAAAGCCCCCAACAAGGGTTTTAAGAGCTGTATCAAAATAAGAAATAACGTGATCGATAGGAGGTTTGGGTTGTGTTTTCAAAATAATCAATAAGTTAGTTGTGTTTAAGGCGGTTTGATGAGTCATTGGTTGTCATTGTAAAGCGGATTAATTTGCCCTGCAAGATAAGTCTAAAAAGCCTTGTGAAAAAAGCAGTAGGCCAAGTTTGTTGCAAAAATGTGACAAAAGTAACTGGCTTAGCAGAATAATTGCCAATAATGTCGAATAACCTTTGCGTTGAACTCAAGAATTTGGTAAATTGGCGTTAACTCTAATGGGGTTCGATCTTGCTTTATACTGGAAGCAGTTGTTAAGTGAGAATTTTATTAATTGACATAAATGTGGAGATGAAAACGATGAAAAAATCGCTTCTCGCTATTGCTTTAATGGGTGCATTTGCAGGTTCTGCTTTCGCACAATCTTCTGTGACAATGTATGGTACAGCTGATATCGGTGTTTCTGCTAATACAAAAAATGGTTCTGCTGATAAATTTGGCGCAGCAGTTGACAGCGATGGTGCAGACGACTCTCGCTGGGGCTTAAAAGGCTCTGAAGACTTAGGTAACGGTACTAAAGCAATTTTCCAATTGGAAGGTTCTTTAAATCCTGAAAATGGCAACTTAGGTAACGGCACAGTGTTTAATCGCCATGCATACGCTGGTTTGGCAACAAACTACGGTACTGTTGTTTTTGGTCGTACTCGTGACTTCCAAGATACTTTTGTAGCTCCATACTCAACAGCTGTTAACCAATTCACTAACAAATATGGTTGGTCTTTGCATGACATGATTGGTGACAATATGTCTGGTGTTTCTTATGATCGTATGATCAAAGCAACAACAGCTAACTACAGTGGCTTCCAAGCTGGTGGTTTTTATGGTCACAAATCAGGTACAGGTCCTAGCCAAGCAGCAGGTGATGCGGCTAGTTTGGATACAGCAGCACGTAAAGCTAACAAAGCATATGGTTTGGGTGTAAACTTTGCTCGTAGCAACTTCGGCGTTGGCGCAGCGTGGACACACGAAACTGGTGATACACACTATAGTTATCCAGCTAAAAAAGATATTTTTGGTTTAGGTGCTAACTTTAGCGTTGCTCAAGTTGGAATCAATGGTACGTTCTCTTATGTAAGCCAAAAAAATGTCATTTCTGGATTGCAAGCACTTGCTGATGAAGTGTATGGCTTTTCATACTACGGCAATGGCAAAAGAAAAGGTTGGGTTCTTGATTTAGGTACAACTTATAAAATCAATCCGAAAATGGCTTTGGGAATTAGTGCTCAGTACGCTCAAGACAAGTTGACTGGTAGTAACTACGAGGCGGTTGGTACAAACGCTTATGCATTAGCATCAGAAGTTAAGACAAAAGCATGGCAGTTGAACTTGGTAGCTGACTATGCCTTATCTAAACGTACTGATGTATATGGTGGTTTGTATTATCAACACGTGAAAGATAAGTACGCTTATGGTTATGCCGAAAATGTTGGTGGTGTTTTATACTCAGAAGGTGATTCTTTTTCATCTACGAAATATTCAGTATTACCAGGTAAATCAGGGACAACTAAAGCTGGTTTAGGTATGCGTGTAGGTTTACGTCATAGCTTCTAATCGAACTTTGAAGTAAATAAAAAAGCACCCTTAGCGGTGCTTTTTTATTGGGATTTTTTATTTAAAAAGTTGTAATCTTTGTTTGATGGAAAAACGTTTAAGACTATTCACAAATAGGAGGTCTAATGAACCCAAAATTCATGTTTAGCTCAATCGTTTTGATAACAAGCACTCTACTTAATGCTTGTCAAACACAGGTGCCTAGCACATCAACAACGCCACCGCTCCAAACTAATCCAGCAACTGTAGTACCCCCGAACGTTGTGGCACCTATGACCAATCAATCAAATTATCCTGTAGCAAAAGTCTTAAAAGCAACTAGCCAAGTTGTTGGACAAGCAGGTGGCGCGGGTTCGAGTGGTGTTCGTGTTGGCGCGGGGGCCTCTGGCGGCTCTGGTGGTGGTGTGTTTGGTGGGGTTGGTTTTTCGGTAGATTTAGGCACATTGATGGGACTGTTTGGAGGTAATAAAGCTCCAACGACGACCCAAGTTTTATGGGTGTATGAGCTACAAGATCTTCAATCAAAACAAGTTTATCAATCAACGCCAATATCAAAAGAAATGATGATACAAAGTTGTGTGCGTTATCGCGCGATTCCTAATAGCCAGCAAGCAGAAGTTTTAAATTTGGAAGCGTGTTAACCACCGTACCACTGAAAAATCTTATGCAATAAATGGCTTTGCACCAGAAATATTTATGTAAGTTATTGAAATATTTGATATTGTTTTTTGTGTTCATCGCGAAGCAAAATATCGATAATCGCTTGCTTAGGCAAGACAAGGTGACTAGCTTTCAGATTAGCCAAATGTCGCTGCGGCATAGCCTGAGGCTTTTCCAAGGCTTTATCACGGCCGTCAGAAAGCCCCATTTCTGCAATAAACCGTGATGGATCACATGCAACATGTTCTCCGCCCCGCTTTCGCTTGGAACACCATGTAATGGTTAAACTTTTTTGTGCTCGTGTTACGCCGACATACATAATGCGGCGTTCTTCCATCACCGCTTTGGTTAAAGTCTCTTCATCTTGTGTTGCTTCATTTTCAGGATTGTTTTGCACAAAAGGCAAGGTGTTTTCTTCTACACCGATTAAAATGACATGTCCAAATTCTAGCCCTTTGGAGGCGTGAATGGTCGAGAGCTGAACGGCATTTTGATCGTCATCTTGCTCTCTATTTTCGAGCATATTCATGAGAGCCACGGTTTGTACGAGTTGTGAGAGGTTCTTATCGGCTTTGACCAGAAGAGCATCACGGTTGGCATAATGATTCTCTTCATCATCGATTGAATCAAAGAGTTTTTCTTCTTCACTGTGCGCAGCTTGATCAACGGGAGACTTAGTACCTTTTTGTTTTAACCATGTCATGAACTCTAAAACGTTGCTCCAACGGGTTTGTGCTTGTCGGTCGTCAAATTGTTCATACAGATAGGCTTCGTAATCAATACCTTGAAGCAATTGGTCAATGGTTTTGTCGACGGCTTGGTTTTCTAATTCATGCGTGAGCGTTAAAATAAATTGAATAAAATTTTCAAGAGCTTGGCGTTGACTGGCGCCAATCATCGAAATGGCAGCGCCACTTTGCGCTGCCTGGAAAAGTGAAGTATGACTTAATGCCGCAAGCTCGCCAAGCGAAATTAAAGTCTGTGAACCTATGCCACGCTTAGGAGTTGTGATAGCTCTTAAGAAGGCGGGGTCATCATCAGGATTGACTAAAAGGCGTAGGTAGGCAAGCATATCTTTAATTTCGGCTTTTTCAAAAAAACTTTGACCACCTGAAATGCGGTAAGGTATATTTTCGCGGCGTAATATTTTTTCGAAAATTCTGGCTTGATGATTGCTACGATATAAAATTGCGTAATCACGCCACTGATTGCTTAGCTCGAAACGCATTGAAGATAAACGAAAAATAACACTTTCAGCTTCATGTTCTTCCTCTTTCATCGGTAGAACAAGGATCGCTTCACCATGACTGTGTTCACTCCAGAGGTTTTTAACAAAAAGTTTTGGATTGTGAGCAATCAGTTCGTTTGCACCCTTAAGAATATTATTCGATGAACGATAATTTTGTTCGAGTTTGATAACTTTTAAATCAGGGTATTCTTGTTGCAATAACAAAAGATTATCCGCATTGGCCCCTCGCCAACCATAGATCGATTGATCATCGTCACCCACTACAGTAAATCTAGGCACTAAACCTTGGCGATTAACAAGCAATTTAAGCAACTCATATTGACAGCCGTTCGTATCTTGGTATTCGTCAACAAGAAGATACTGCCAACGCCGCTGCCAATGTTCACGTACCGCATCATGCTCACGTAACAGTTTAACAGGCTGCAAGATAAGATCATCAAAATCAACAGCATGATAAGCATTTAAGAGCGCGCAGTAACGTTCATAGGTGGTAGCCGCTCGTAGGATTTCATCATGATCAGCTGTTCGGAGTGCTTCACTGGGGGTGATGAGTTGGTTTTTCCACGATGATATTTGGTTTTGAATCCGTTGTATGCTTTTTTTGTCATTTTCTCCGAGAATATCTTGCAAAATGCCTTTGCAGTCCGCACTATCTAAAATTGAAAAATTTTCCTTAAAACCCAAATACTTAGCATCATGGCGTAATAAGCGTAAGCCAAGGGAGTGAAAGGTGCTGATCATGACTTGACCACGAGGTTTTATGCCCCTGCGTTCGAAACTTGCCGACAAGGCAGGTTTTACACGAGTTTGCATTTCGTGAGCCGCTTTATTGGTAAAGGTAATGGCAACAATTTCATGAGGCTGATAGTGCCGATGTTGTATAAGATGAACAATTTTTTCGGTAATCACACGGGTTTTACCGCTACCAGCACCTGCTAAAACCAAACAAGGACCTTGATCAAAGAGTACAGCTTCTTGTTGTGCGGGATTAAGATGAATTTGAGACATGAATCATGGTGCATCCTACCGATGCTAGCTGGAAAAGTGGGAAAGCAACAACAACGATCAAGCAGCTTAATTTATAAGTGTTCACCACGCCATAAATCGTCAAAAGACTCGCGTTCGCGGATAACCCTCGTTTGTGCATCACTTGAAATCATCACCTCGACTGCTTTGCAGCGAGAATTGTAGTTTGAACTCATCGTAAAGCCATAAGCACCCGCAGACAAGATGGCCAAAGCATCCCCTTCATGCACCGATAAAACACGATCACGACCCAACCAATCACCGCTCTCGCAAATGGGGCCAACGACATCATAAACTTTTGTAGGATCGCTAGTGGCTTTGACAGGAATAATTTGATGAAATGCTTCGTACATCGCAGGTCTTGCAAGATCATTCATGGCGGCGTCTACAATACAAAAATTTTTGCCAACCCCTGTTTTGAGGTACTCTACTGTGGTTAATAAAAGCCCTGCGTTGCCAATCATGGAGCGTCCAGGTTCTACAAAAAGTGTTTTATCGGCAAAACCCATTGCATCAGCCATCTTGGCTATGCGGGGATAAATTTCACTTGGATCAGGCGCTGTTTCGTCTAAATAACAGATCCCCAAACCTCCGCCAATATCGATGTGTTGGATAACAATCCCAGATTTTTCAAGTGACTGAACAATCGTGAGAATGATGGCAAAAGCATCTTCAAAGGGCTGCATTTGTAAAATTTGTGAACCAATGTGACAGTCGATACCGACAATATTAATCCCAGGCATTTGCGCTGCTTTTTGATAAGTTGCTAAGGCATCTTCCTGAGCGATGCCAAATTTATTGTCTTTAAGTCCTGTTGAAATATAGGGATGTGTCTTAGCATCGACATTGGGATTGACTCGCAAGGAAATCGGTGCTTTTAGTCCAAGCGACTGAGCAATATCATTAACACGATATAATTCATTAATTGATTCAATATTTAAGCAGCCTATACCCGATTTTAAAGCCAGTACAATTTCTTGTGTCGATTTACCCACACCTGAAAAAATGCAATGTTTAGCTTGCCCGCCTGCTTTTAACACGCGACGCAATTCGCCTTCAGACACGATATCAAAGCCAGCACCCAAACGGGCTAAAAGTGCCAAAATAGCTAAATTGCTATTAGCTTTGACCGCATAATGAATTTTTAAGCGATGGTTCGGTAAGCTGTTGGCGTAACGTGCGTAGTTGTCACGAATGACCGATTCGCTGTACACGTAACATGGTGTAGCGTATTGTTGTGCAATTTTTTGTAAATCTGCACCGTCAAAACATAATACGGCATCGGCATTGCGTTCTAGCAAAGGAAGATTGGTGTCTATCATGGATGAATCGGTTCAAAAGTTGCAAGAGTCCTATGGCGATCAATTTCATCAGTTGTCAATATCAACCATGCATGAATTAGGGTTGGGTGACGATGAATAATACTGGCTCACCTAGGGTTGTATCGGTGATGGCTGCACAGCACTGGAAGATTCAACTACCGCAGGAGATTCTGGGGGTAGTTTGAGTCGGCCTTTAACTCCGCAACTGGTGAGGGTGACTAGACTTAAGAGGCTCAGAACAGCAATCAAGGTCACTTTATTGATCACTTTATTCACCTTCACTTTGTGTGTCCTTAAACATTTCTAGGGCTTTGCTTCTTTCACCAGAGTCTGCTGACGGTGCCTCTGGAGCACTGTGTGCAGCTGGAGATGCATCGTTTTCATCATCGTTTCTTCGAGCCCTCCGCCTTGGCGCTGGCGCATCATCACCATCGTCTTCTTGCTTACGAACAATTCGAGGCTTCTTCGTTTTTTTGATGGCTGAATCGTCGTCATTGAATCGGCCACCATGCCAGCCAGCGTTAACACCCACCGCTTTAATCGTGGCACCCACACCTTCAGCATAGGCGTAATCGCCAGCGTATTTAACGATTCCAGCGGGAACCGTAATTTTGCGCACGGGATCATCCTTGACAGCGTAACGCATGTAGTTGATCCAAATCGGTAATGCTAACGCTCCCCCTGTTTCGCCTCGACCAAGCGGCTGAGGCGTTGAGTATCCCACCCATGTCGCCGCCACGACGTTACCTGCATAACCAACAAACCACGCATCGTATTCGTCATTGGTGGTTCCAGTTTTGCCTGCGACATCGCTACGGCCTAAGGCTAGCGCACGTTTAGCAGTTCCAAGACGAACAACATCACGCATCATGCTGTCTATGATAAAAGCATTTCTAGGGTCAATGACTTGTACGGGTGCTTCAGCTTCGTGTTGCATAAGCACTTTGCCATACGGATCAATAATTCTTTCAATAATATAAGGTTTGACTCGATTACCACCTGATGCAAAAACGGCAAATGCACTAGCCATTTGTAGTACTGTTGCAGAACCTGCACCTAATGCAGTCGTCAAATAAGCAGGATGCCTTTTTGCATCCAAGCCAAAACGCGTGAGATACTGTTGTACAGTTGCGGTACCCACTTGTTTCATCACACGAATGGATACAAGGTTTTTCGACTTAATCAAGGCCGTCCGAAGCGGAATTGGTCCACTAAAATGACCATCAGAGTTTTTCGGGTTCCAACGACGACCACCCGTTTCCCATGATTTAAACTTGAGCGGCGCATCATTAACAATGGTCGCTGGTGTCATGCCGTGTTCTAATGCAGCTGAATAAATCATTGGTTTGATAGCTGATCCAGGTTGACGCCAAGCTTGGGTTGTGTTGTTAAAAGGTTGAATATCAAAATCAAATCCTCCTACCATAGCCTTAATGGCACCTGTTGTGTAGTTCATGCCGATAATCCCAGATTGGACTAACGGAATCTGACTAATTTCATACCAAGGATTTTTACCGTCATCATCGGTTGTTGTTTTCAACCGAATAATTGAGCCCTTTTTGATCTTAACTTTTGGTTGAGCCGATGCCACCAAACCCGATAAGGCAAAACGTAGGCCTGCGCCTTTTACTTTAACGATGCCATTGCTACTTGTTTGTGCTTTAACTTCGCTAGGACTAGCTTCTAATACAACGCCAGTTAATAATTCGCCAGAATCAGGGTGATCGACAAATGCTTCATCAATTTTTTGTTCATTTTCTTTATCATTTTTACTAAGCTCAACAAAACCTTCAGGCCCACGGTAACCTCTGGAACGGTCAAATGCCATCATGGCACGTCGCTGAACTCTACTGGCCTGTTCTTGCTCGTCTTTCATGACGGTCGTGTATGCGCTAAGCCCCATTTCATAGGTCGCTTTACCGTACTTTTCATACATCACTTTGCGAACAAGTTCGGCGACATATTTACCGTAGGGAGAAACTTTAGGCGCACTGGCTAAATTTAACTTAAGGGGTTCATTAATAGCTTGTGTGTATTGCTGTGGTGTAATCATGCCAAGCTCTTTCATACGCAGCAGGACATACTGTTGGCGGATGCGGGCACGTTCAGGATTAATGACAGGGTTGTACAACGAAGGGGCTTTCGGTAGACCAGCCAACATGGCAGATTCAGATAAAGTTAAGTCTTTGAGACTTTTGCTGTAATAAGTCCTTGCGGCTGCACCAACACCATAAGCGCGCTGACCTAAATAAATTTGATTAAGGTAAAGTTCAATAATTTGTTGTTTGGTCATCGCTTGTTCTAAGCGATAAGCCATCATGGCTTCGGTGATTTTGCGTTTTAGGGTTTTTTCAGGCGTTAAAAAAACGTTCCGAACGACCTGCATGGTAATGGTAGATGCACCTTGTTTGTTACCGCCTGTGGCATTTGACATCAAAGCACGAGCAACACCAATTGGATCTACTCCTTCATGTTCGTAGAAACGAGCATCTTCAATAGCAATAAAGGCATTTTGTAGATTTTTGGGGATTTCGTTGATTTTGACTAAGCTACGACGCTCATGCCCAAACTCGCCAATCAAGTAGCCGTCAGCAGTATAAACTCGTAACGGTGCTTTAGGACGGTATTCTGTAATACTTGCAATCGATGGCGTACTAGCACTGATGGTGATATAGGTAAACACAAACACTAAAATCAACGCTAGCAGTATAGCGACCAAGGTGATTAGAACAAATCCTTGATTGGATACGTCTTTTCGGGTGGCTACTTTAATTGGTTTTAAAGGCGCTGGTGAGAGCTTCTGAATGAGCTCTGCAGAATGTTGCAATTGGGTCATTGGCGATAACGAAACAATTCATCGTGTTATTTCTAGAGTCGACATTATACCCCTTGCAATGTGTTTTTTGTGTGAAGGCTCATGATAATAAGAATAAATGTTCAAGAGCCTCATCCAAAAACAGTAATATAATGTCTATTCAATCAAAACAAATATAACATATTGGTTTGTTAGCTTTTTTGATTTTAAAGGAACTCAAATCGCTGTAACCACAACTACATTTGTTTAATTTGCAGTCTGATTGAGTGCACCACTGGCATAGAGTCGAGCCATTTCATTTAAAGTGACAGGTTTGATTTTTGGACCCTGCCCCTCGCAACCAAACTCAAGATAACGTTGTTTACAAATGTTTTTTGCTGCTTCACGCGCTGGTTTTAGGTATTCACGTGGGTCAAATTTTTCTGGGTGCTCTGCAAAAAATTGGCGGATGGCTGCGGTCATGGCTAGGCGAATATCGGTATCGATGTTAATCTTACGAACACCATATTTAATCGCTTCTTGAATCTCCTCAACAGGAACCCCATACGTTTCTTTCATATTACCGCCAAACTGGCGAATAATGGCCAATAAGTCTTGTGGTACGGATGAAGAGCCGTGCATGACTAAATGGGTTTTAGGGATACGGTGATGAATGGCTTTAATGCGGTCAATCGCTAAAATATCTCCTGTTGGCTTACGGCTAAACTTGTAAGCACCATGGCTAGTACCAATGGCAATCGCCAAAGCATCAACTTGTGTTTTATTAACAAAATCAGCAGCTTGGTCTGGGTCTGTTAGGAGTTGATCGCGAGTCATGGTAGCGTCAGTGCCGTGACCATCCTCTTTGTCGCCTTTCATCGTTTCTAGGGAACCTAAGCAACCTAACTCACCTTCAACCGTGACACCAACTTGGTGAGCCATATCAACAACTTTTCGTGTTACTTCAACATTATAGTCATAAGAGGCGATGGTTTTGCCGTCTTCCTCTAAGGAGCCATCCATCATGACTGAGGTAAACGATAAATCAATCGCACCTTTACAAATAGCGGGAGACTGTCCGTGATCTTGATGCATCACAACCGGAATATGAGGGTAGGATTGAACGGCAGCTTCAATTAATAATTTGAGAAACTGTTCGCCTGCATATTTACGAGCACCTGCGGAAGCCTGCATAATGACAGGAGCGCCTACTTCATCTGCGGCGGCCATAATAGCTTGAACCTGTTCTAAGTTATTGACGTTAAAGGCAGGAATTCCGTATTGATTTTCTGCAGCGTGGTCAAGTAATTGGCGCATTGAAACTAAAGGCATAGTATTTTCCTTACAAATAATAGAAGTTTTTCGTATTTTATCAAAAACACATCGGTGGGGTCAGCTTAAAACGAATTTGAAACGAAACAACAACAAAAACTCGACCGAAGTCGAGTTTTTGTTTGGTTGAGCTATTTTAAATGTCTTTACGACGTGTGTAACGAATGCGACAAGGGCTATCAGGCCATTTTGTCACAGCACCTGGTGCTTCTTTAACATCTTTATCCAATAATTCAAGATCATAATAACGCAACATCAAAGATACAATAACTTTCATTTCAAGATAGGCAAAGTTGACACCAGCGCAACGATGTGTTCCGCCACCAAAACCAACTAAGGCATTTTGATAGCCTTTCGTTTCGTTACGTTCGGGTGAATAACGATAAGGATCCCAACTTTCTGGATTACTAAAGATATAGGGCAACTTGTGTGAGGTGCAAGTGCCAATAAAGATGGGGGTGCCTTTTTCGATTAAATATCCATCCAATTCAACATCTTGCGCCGCAAGGCGTGCTAACATAAAGGCAACTGGGTGCACGCGTTCGGTTTCACGCAAACACCAATCACACAGATCAAAGTTGCGGCAGTGTTCAAAGGTAAGTTTTTCGCCTTTGGGCCAATATTTGTCTTGTTCGGCACGCAATTGCGGGATGATATCGGGATGGCGGAGAATATCGACAAAGGCCCAGCTGGTATGTCCAGCAGTTGTTTCATGACCTGCCCAAACCAATAGCAAAATAAGGTTAATGGCAATTTCTGTAGGCACAGCCGTACCGTCTGGATACTTGGCATCGGCTAATTGTTGTAAAAAGTCAGGTGGATCAATAGGGTTACGACGACGCTCTTCAATTAATGCTCCCATTGTTTTATGAAGCATTTTTTTGGCTTTTTGACTATTGATAAACTTAGGTAATGGCAACCAACCTGGCAATACAGGATCCATCCCGCCAGAAAAAACGCGGAAATCTTCAAAAAATTGCTCACCTAAACGACTACGGAAGTCACCCCCCAAAAAAGAGTGCGCAGCAATATTCATCACCAAAGGCCCCATGGTGGGAATACAATCAAAGACACCTTCGTCACCGAGTTTGTCTTCGATCATACGATCGGTCTCATAAGACATGATGTCAACATAAGCCTCTAGAGCTTTGCCTTGAAACTTAGGCATGACAATTGATTTTTGACGCAAATAGTCATCGTACTGAGCAAAGAAATAAAAATCTTTACTGAACATACGTAGAAAAAAGGGATAACCTTCGCGAATGGATAGGGCTTTATCTGTTTGATTAAAAAAGAATTTTGCATTCTCTGGACCAGAGATCACCACCGCTTTTTTACCAAAAATACTGATGGCAAACACTTGCCCATGTTCTTGCACGCCACGCATAAACAAGCCGATTGGATCTTTGCCAAATTGTAACGCGTGCCCTATCAGGGGCGCTGCGCCACTGACCAATTTTGGGGTATCAAGTTTGGTGCTTGATTGAGTTGTCGTTGTTGCAGTCATGTTTACCTCCAGAGAACAAAAAATTGACTTAATTCCATGTTATTTAAATACATCTGTAGTGCAGATATACAGTCCAGCGACCTAATGGAACCTAGGGTATTATCCTATAGTAAAAACCCTAGTTTTCCTAGCGCATTTGCACTAAATAAGGTAAAGTGGCTTCACAAAATGTTCGTTACTCGTTCCATTTTACATTTGTACTAAAGAAAGTGATTTGTCGACATAATCGTTATAGGGGGCTTGATTGATGTCAAAATAAGATGATTGATCAATAAAAAGGTCTCCTATTGCTAAGAGACCTACCAAACGAAAGTTGCTTAAACGAACGATTTGTTCCAATTCCCGATTGATCGGGAATTGGAATTATTTGCCCGCAGAACGCAGCGCATTTGCGCCAAAGTCATTAGGCGAGGTGTACTTGCCACTACCAATAACTGGTGCTTTACCTGTTTCCTGCCATAAACGATCAGCAAAGTAGGCTCCGCTGTTGAGATCAATATAGTAGGCAGAACGAGGCATAATTGTTTTTGCATCATAAGCATAAACATAATTTTGCCAAGCGGTGCGCCACAATTGACCACGCGCATCATAAAAGTCGCTCATGACAGGCGACCAAGTGTCTTCTTGCAAAAATAAAACACGGCGTGCGTAGTTATGGCGTTGACCCGATTTTAACTTGCCATCGACGACATGAACACGATGTGTTTCCCAACGCATATACTTAGGATTGGGGAATTTTGGTGTTAATAAGTCGCTGTATTTCAAATTAGGATCTTCGTGGATATACGCATTGTAAGGAACGTACAAGGTTTTTTTGCCAAGATATGACCAGTCATAGCGCTCTGGCGTGCCGTTAAATAAACGATCATCATCTACAGTACGCAAGCCACCAGGACCCCTTGGGAAGTCAAAACCAAACTCAGGCAATTCACGAACGCGGCGTGTGCCTGGTTGGTATTGCCAAGCTTGGCGAGGTGCCTTGGCATAGTTACCGCTATCCCAGCCAGAAACAATTTCACCTTTACTGCGTTCTGGTAACAAGGTTGTTACAAAAAAGTAGGCAGTTGGTTTTTCAGCAGGCCATACGTCACCAGCTTTAACCGCAAAGCCCAAACGGTAATCTTCTTTACCTTTGGCAATTGCGCCCGAAGGCTGCACAGCGGCAGAATCTTGAATGGCGTGTTCACCAGTGGTTAGCCCAAACACACCAAACTTGGTATTCCATACGGCTTCTAGCCCGTTTTTGGGGAATGGGAAGGGCGCGCCACCTTGAACAACACCCGTAACACCTTCGCCACCATCGGTCAGTTCGCCAGAGGTGGCGTTAGTTTTGGTGTATTTGCAGTCCCCTTCAGTCGCAAAATCGCGGTGAGATGGGTAAACATTCATCTTGTAGTCAGGGTACTTTTTTAGGAGTGCTTGTTGACCAGGTGATAGTTTGGCCAGGTGTTGAGCCATGTTGGCAGCTGTGACCACAACAATTGGTTGTTCGTTGGCATAAGGATTACCATAAACACCAGCAGAATTGGTAACTCCAGGAGGAGCCCCTTTCCATTTGCCTGTATAAGCTGCTACACCGTCACCTGCAGCTTTTTCAGCACCGTTACAAGTTAGCGTTGCGCCCAACTTAGCAACTTGTCCTGCGTCAGCTTTAGCAAAAGCATGAGCAGAAACACCGCTCACTGCTAACAATGCTAGCATCTGAATAGACAATTGCTTTACATTTGATTTCATCATCTCTCCATCTCCATAAAGAGGTTAAAAAACATTTCGAGGTCATTTTCTAGGGTAGAGAATGACCTCTTATCGCTATTAACGCAGATTGTTTGGAATATGGCGACACGAGTTCGGACTAATTTGAGATTTTTTTTGGCGTAAACCCTACTAGGGTTTACTTGTAATCAAATGATTTGCGTGAGAAAATTAAAGGGGTTCGCTGAGACTCGTCGAGTGGAGTTTGGCATATCACCCGATAAAATAATGGGCATCACTTTAGCCATCTATAAGATCAAGTAGGTCAGCAATGAAGGCGTGAAGTTAATCTTGCTCCAAGCCAACCATCGCTCGCCCATAATTGAGAGCATCAAATGGCATCAGGTCTTCGGCTTTTTCTCCCACGCCAATAAAATAAATGGGTACGGGGCATTTACTGGCAATCGCCAAAACGATACCACCTTTTGCTGTGCCATCGAGTTTGGTAACAATTAACCCCGTTAAACCAATTGTCTCATGAAAGGCAACCACTTGATTTAAAGCGTTTTGTCCATTATTGGCATCAATCACCAGTAAAACTTCATGGGGAGCGGTGGCATCAGCTTTGGTAATGACGCGTTTTATTTTTTTGAGTTCTTCCATCAAATGGGCTTGTGTGGGTAAACGACCCGCAGTATCTGCCATGACCACGTCAATACCTTTTGCTTTTGCCGACTGGACAGCATCAAAAATAACCGCTGCAGGATCAGCACCTTCTTGAGAAATGACGGTAATTTGATTACGATCACCCCATGCGGTTAATTGCTCGCGCGCAGCGGCACGAAAAGTGTCGCCAGCGGCTAATAAAACCGTATAATCTGCACTTAACAAGTGTTTAGCTAATTTGCCGATGGTGGTGGTTTTGCCCACGCCATTAACACCAACCATCATCATGACATTGGGTTTAAAGTTTTCAATATCAATGGTTTTTTCTAAAGGACGTAGCTCATCGGCGATACATTGTGCTAATAATTCACGGATTTGCTCTAAAGTGTCTGGTTTGGCTTTTTTGATTTTTTGACGTAAGTTTTCAACAACAATACAAGCAGCTTCAATGCCACTATCACTCATAATCAGCGATTCTTCAAGCTCGTCCATTAAAGTTTCATCAATGGTTACGCGTTTAAAGGCAAAAGAAATGCTATCGCCCGTTTTGTTGAGCCCCTTTTTTAAATTGCTAAACCATGTTTTTTTGGCTTGTTTTTCTTGTTCAGCATCGCTTAAAGACGTTTTAGCTGTTTCGGGAGCTGTAACGTTATTTTCAGTTTTAGCTGATGGGTTGGTTTGTGGAGATTGATCTAGGAAATCTTCTTCCGATAAGTCATCTAAGGCGGGGTCCTCTAGAATAATGGGCTCTTGAAAATCATGAGCATCCAGATCTAAAGAATCTGGTCGATCAAGTTCATTAACTTGCTCAATGGGGTCAGCTTGATGGATTTGCGACTTATCAGATGTTTTTTTCCCAAACAAGTTTCCAAGCCAAGATTTTTTTGTGTTTTCATTGGTTTGGTTTAATTTAAGACTGGGTTCACTTTCAGTTTCAAGCTCAGTGTGTGAAATAATAGGAACGAGATCAGAGGTTGTGGTGATAGGGTCGAGAGGGGGGGGTGAATCAGTGCTCGCCAGAGCGTCGTTCATATTTTGAGCCGATGTGTCTTGAGCAAGAGATTGGGCTGTATCGCTTATTTCGTCAACTTCAGTGTTTTCGGTGTTGATGACCGTTTCTAGCGTATCGTCAACTTTTTTCTTGCGTTTAAAAAAACTAAACATAATGGGTTAATGGAGAAGGCGTATCATAGGCAAAATAATGAATCATTTCTTGGTAAAACCTGATGATTCATTGGCTTAAAGAATTCATTGATGGTTGGGCTTACTTGATATGGTTACGATAGACATCAAATTTTAGGGTAGCAACGTTTCAAATTTCTCAGGTCAAATAGCGTGAATCGATATTAACGTATCACAAAACGCCAAGTACTCAAAGACCTTAACATTGCTATAATTGGCGCAATATTACACGAATACAAGGCTATTTTCTATGAAAATTCGCAAAAAAACTGATTCAACTCCTATTTTAACGTATTCTGACCGCCTATTTTCTTTCGTTGGATTAACACTTGCGATCAGTTGCAGCGCAGTTTTGGCACCCGTTTTGACATATGCTCAGTCAGTTGGTGTAACAGAGCAAGCTTATGAAAACAAAGAAGATGCGATTGCGATTGAAAAAATCAATGACACGACCTCGCGATTTCGTTTAGCTAACGGTTTGCAGGTCATTATCAAGGAAGACCATCGCTCCCCAACGATCAGTTATTATACGTTTTACAAAGCAGGCTCAATTGACGAAGTGCATGGCAAAACAGGATTGGCTCATGTTTTAGAGCATATGATGTTCAAACGAACCAAAACCATGAATGTTGGCGATTTTGATAAGGCGGTCAAAGCGATGGGAGGAGCTACGAATGCTTATACCACCAATGATGTCACAGGATATTATATTCAGGCAGAAAAATCCAATTTGCCGAAAATCATGGCATTAGAGTCAGATAGGATGGCGAATGTCCAAAATCATCCTGATGATTTTGCTAAAGAAATTGAGGTTATCAAAGAAGAGCGTCGTATGCGTACGGATGACCGCCCTACGGGTAAACTCTACGAAAAATTGATGAATACAGTTTATACGAAGCATCCCTACAAAAACCCTGTGATTGGCTGGCGTGCCGATCTTGATGCATTAACCTATCAAGACGCGCAACATTGGTATGAAACTTGGTATGCACCTAATAATGCAACCATTGTGATCGCAGGAGATGTGACACCACAAGAAGTAACAGGGTTATTTAAAGAGTATTACGGTGCGATCCCTGCAAAAAAAATTGAACGTAGCGCATCGATCATAGAACCTGTACAAACGAATAAACGAACGGTTGTTCATAAAGATTATGCTGAAAACGAGCAAGTTTATTTGTTTTATAAAGTGCCTCAATATACGACACTTGATGAGAGCGAAGAAGTGTATGCATTAACGCTTTTAGATACTATTTTGTCAGGTTATGAAGGTGCAAGACTACCAAAAAGACTACGTGACGAGCAGAAAATAGCCCAAGAGGTATGGAGTACCTATGATCCTTTTAATCGTGGTCCAAGCTTGTTTGGTTTGGGAGGGACACCAACACCTCATCACGATAATGCGGCTTTAGAAAAAGCACTCACGGAGCAAGTGGCTTTAATCGCTAAAAATGGCGTAACCGATACCGAGCTTGCACGCGCTAAATCACAATATTTGGCGAGTCGAATTTATGCGCGTGATAATAAAAGCAGTATGGCTCAGGAAATCGGTCATGCAGAAATAACAGTCTTGGGTGTTGAAAATATTGATAAAGTTTTTGATAAACTCAAGGCTGTAACCAAAGAGCAAGTTCAAACCGTTGCACAAAAGTATTTGATTCATGAGCAAACTTTAACCGCTGGTTATCTTGTTCCCGACAAAACACTTAAACCTTCCTCTCAGGGCAATCCTGAGATGGTAAGCCCAACAAAATTTCGTTAATTCAACACATTAACTTTTACGCATAAAATTATTTATGGATAACCTCAAAAAATTACGCCTTGGTTTTTGTGTGTCGTTGATGGGACTAGGGTTGCCTCAAAGCGCATTGAGTGCAATCCCGATTGAAAAACTAACAACACCCAATGGTACGACGGTATATTATGTCAATTCACCTTCCATACCGATGGTCGATATTAACGTCATTTTCCCCAACGCAGGTTCGATACAAAATTACTTATACAAAAAAGGGGTAGCTGGTTTTACGGCAAGCTTGATGAGTAGTGGTGTCAAAACAA